ACGACGCATTGATTGCTCGGGGTCCCGAGCAGTTAAGAGAGAAGACATTCCTCATAGGAATCAGTGCGCACGTTCCCTGTACCTAATGATCATGTACTGACCACACTGACAGCAATTATGAGTTTTTGAGGTATAAATAGTCCTCGCAAAAGGCAAGACGGTACACAACAAAAAACCTATACTTAGTATTTTCTTCTTTCCCCCTCTCAAATACTGACTTGATCGTCGGAAGGGACTTGATCGTCGGAAGGGATACGCCAAAAAACACTCCGGCACCCTTCTAACTTGCCTTTTTTTGTTCCAGGAACCTTCCTCAGCCTTACAGGATCGCTCCGTTGATCCACGTGAGTCTTCCATTATCGTTTCAGGTTACCACAGGACCTCACAGGCTGTTCCCAATAGCAAGATTAATTATTTGATTGACTGACTCGAGTTCACCACATGAGAGATCTGTTCTCATATTAATATTGTGTAAGATCCTGCACACACACTTAACTAAGAACTGGACTTTGTGTGCGGTTGCAGATATATGAGATTTATTCTCGAACAAATTAGTCCAAAATAACCCAACTTTACAGAATCTCTTTATTACAAAAAGAAAAAGGAACCTTGGACGAAGTTGTGGCGGAGGAGTCCGAGTAATGAATTTTCAATTTCGTATAACTTGATGACTAAGGAACTGGTAATCCAATGAAAGTTTCTTGGAAGAGTTTATAACCTGATGCTGATGCTGATGCTGATGCTGACAGCCCACCTCCCACTCCCCACCCCCACACCCCTTCTTTTTTGGGTTGATAAGCCTAGGCGTGTATTTTTTGGGATTTAAAAAGGTAATTAAAAGTATAAAGATTAATTTATTTTAATGACATAAATAAGTATATTATAAAATGGATAGAAACAGCGATATAATATCAGTAAATGTAACAAGGAGATAATAATAATAACAACGAGATAATTATATTAAGATAGTAACAATTACAACAATAATAAATTTTTATTGTCACTATTAAGCGCTATTCGTTTTATGTCATCAAAGACAATTGCACTCACAATTACTATTTTATTTTTAATAATATGATTAACGATGACAATAACACTATGATAGTGATAATATATAATAATGAATTTTCAATGTTAGTGTTCATTTTCTTCATCCAAATTTTACGTGATAATAATTGAATTTTTATTCATGCATTCCAAACACCATTTCAGCATATTAGATAGAGCGAGAATGTCACTAAAATTAAAAATAAATTAAAACAGAGAATTTCAAAAAATAAATTACACCTGAACAAACAATAGACATGAACGTCAAAAGTTTGATCCGTGTCTTTCAAACTTAACTGATAATTGTGGTTTCTAAGTAATTATAAGTATTCAGAGTTTATTCTCGTATAAATGAATTTAAAATAATCATACCTCGTTGCCTAAAAAAAAAAGAAGGAAGGAACCTTGGAGGAAATTGTGGTGAATGAGTCAAGTAACGAATTTCCAATTTCCTATAACTTGATGACCAAGGAATGCATAAAATAAGATCATGAGCCAATTTGTTTAGCTGCCTTGGTTGACTGGTAATCCAATGAAAGTTTCTTGGAAGTTTATAACCTGATGCTGAACTCTATTTTAATTAAGTTCTCTGAACTTTCAATTGTCCCATTATGTGGCCCCGATTTATTCTGTTAAAATTGATTTTTAAATGGAACAAATTCCAAGAAGATTATGCTAGCATGGTTGCCGATTGAAACAAATTAACGAATAATTTATCGCATTTAACGATGAATCTTAACAAAAATAATTAATTAAAACAATNGAGAATCTCTTTATTACAAAAAGAAAAAGGAACATTGGACGAAGTTGTGGTGGAGGAGTCCGAGTAATGAATTTTCAATTTCGCATAACTTGATGACTAAGGAACTGGTAATCCAATGAAAGTTTCTTGGAAGAGTTTATAACCTGATGCTGATGCTGATGCTGACAGCCCACCTCCCACTCCCCACCCCCACACCCCATCTTTTTTGGGTTGATAAGGCTAGGCGTGTATTTTTTGGGATTTAAAAAGGTAATTAAAAGTATAAAGATTAAATTATTTTAATGACATAAATAAGTATATTATAAAATGGATAGAAACAGCGATATAATATCAGTAAATGTAACAACGAGACAATAATAATAACAACGAGATAATTATATTAAGATAGTAACAATTACAACAATAATAAATTTTTATTGTCACTATTAAGCGCTATTCGTTTTATGTCATCAAAGACAATTGCACTCATAATTACTATTTTATTTTTAATAATATGATTAACGATGACAATAACACTATGATAGTGATAATATATAATAATGAATTTTCAATGTTAGTGTTCATTTTCTTCATCCAAATTTTACGTGATAATAATTGAATTTTTATTCATGCATTCCAAACACCATTTCAGCATATTAGATAGAGCGAGAATGTCACTAAAATTAAAAATAAATTAAAACAGAGAATTTCAAAAAATAAATTACACCTGAACAAATAATAGACATGTACGTCAAAAGTTTGACCCGTGTCTTTCAAACTTAACTGATAATTGTGGTTTTTAAGTAATTATAAGTATTCAGAGTTTATTCTCGTATAAATGAATTTAAAATAATCATACCTCGTTGCCTAAAAAAAAAA